CACACACACACACACACACACACACACACACACACACACACACACACACACACACACACACACACACACACACACACACACACACACACACACACACACACACACACACACACACACACACACACACACACACACACACACACACACACACACACACACACACACACACACACACACACACACACACACACACACACACACACACACACACACACACACACACACACACACACACACACACACACACACACACACACACACACACACACACACACACACACACACACACACACACACACACACACACACACACACACACACACACACACACACACACACACACACACACACACACACACACACACACACACACACACACACACACACACACACACACACACACACACACACACACACACACACACACACACACACACACACACACACACACACACACACACACACACACACACACACACACACACACACACACACACACACACACACACACACACACACACACACACACACACACACACACACACACACACACACACACACACACACACACACACACACACACACACACACACACACACACACACACACACACACACACACACACACACACACACACACACACACACACACACACACACACACACACACACACACACACACACACACACACACACACACACACACACACACACACACACACACACACACACACACACACACACACACACACACACACACACACACACACACACACACACACACACACACACACACACACACACACACACACACACACACACACACACACACACACACACACACACACACACACACACACACACACACACACACACACACACACACACACACACACACACACACACACACACACACACACACACACACACACACACACACACACACACACACACACACACACACACACACACACACACACACACACACACACACACACACACACACACACACACACACACACACACACACACACACACACACACACACACACACACACACACACACACACACACACACACACACACACACACACACACACACACACACACACACACACACACACACACACACACACACACACACACACACACACACACACACACACACACACACACACACACACACACACACACACACACACACACACACACACACACACACACACACACACACACACACACACACACACACACACACACACACACACACACACACACACACACACACACACACACACACACACACACACACACACACACACACACACACACACACACACACACACACACACACACACACACACACACACACACACACACACACACACACACACACACACACACACACACACACACACACACACACACACACACACACACACACACACACACACACACACACACACACACACACACACACACACACACACACACACACACACACACACACACACACACACACACACACACACACACACACACACACACACACACACACACACACACACACACACACACACACACACACACACACACACACACACACACACACACACACACACACACACACACACACACACACACACACACACACAGTCAAGGAAATCTGTACTGAAATAAATATTTGATAGAAGGGTTGCTAAAATTCACATTAATTTTGTAAATATGTGTATCTGATTACTGTTGTATGGAACATCTCCCTGCTGGTGCTGGTACTGCTACTGCAGGACACAAGCCCATCTTTAATGATTATTTTGAAATCAGACTGTAAGCAGCTCTGGTGAAGGGTAATTTTACTATGTTTTTATATTCTTGTATTTTGCCTAAGCACAGCATACCCCCCCCAGCTTTGTAGATAAAGCAAGTGGCCTTTTTTGGATCAAAGCTCCACTAAGGCTTTCCATTTTTTCAGTAGATGAGCTATTCCAGATACAATTTTTTATGGTGTCTACTCAGTCACACTGTTCTCCCCCTTTCCCACCCATCCCTGCCTCTCAGCCTAACATAATGTACTTGTAGTTGTGTAGCTTCATTCCAGGAATGATTACTAAGGTCAAGTAGGTATTGCACATAACCATTTTTCCCAAGGCAAGTGATCACATGACACTGTTCATATTACACTGTTACGAATGCACGATGTTCAGAGTATGCTTTTCCTCAGAATATTTGTAGGCAAGTTAACTTTAGTGGAGAAGGAAAATAGTTTAAAAAGTACTCAAACCGAAAAGATTACTTTTGTAACGATTGCATCTCCCTAAAGTTGTACTTGATACAAATATATTTGTAATAAGTAAAGTGTATGGCTTGGATTTTGAACTTGAATGAAGTAATTTGTGTTGAAAGATCTTATTCTTGAATTATTTGCAATTAACAGTACAGTTTCCTTGTTTCTAAAACATTTCACTGATCTGCTATTTTGTTTTGTTGATTCTGTTTTGTTTTATTTGTAATTTGTTTTATTTTTATATTTTCTACTCAAATTATTATTTTTTTCAGTTTTGTTAACTCAGACATTCTTTGATTTTTTAAAAAGAAATATTTGTTTGATTTTACCATGACTTTTTAAAAAATAATATGATTATGTAAGATACACATTGTACTGAGAGCTTTGGTCCTAGCATTGAGTCTTCTATTTCTTTCTATTACTTTTTTATTTCCTCTTTTTCATTTTATCATTATTTTTCTTTTTTAACTCAACCTTCCTTTTTAGTTAAACAGTTGACTAAACTGTGTGCTGACTAGTCACATAGACATACTCAAACATACACAAAGTTGCACACATAAACACACATTTACAAACAGTCTCACATACATACTCAGTCACACACACACACACACACACACACACACACACACACACACACACACACACACACACACACACACACACACACACACACACACACACACACACACATACACACACACACACACACACACAATCACACACTTACACTCACTCATCCACACTCAGTCACACACACACACACACACACACACACACACACACACACACACACACACACACACACACACACACACACACACACACACACACACACACACTCAATCACACACTTACAATCAGTCACACATGTACTCACACACACACACACACACACGCACACACACACACACACACACACACGCACACACACACACACACACACACACACACACACACACACACACACACACACACACACACACACACACACACACACACACACACACACACACACACACTTATAGATAGAGGTAATAGACACCACCCAACTTTGGAGGCTTGAAATATATCTTTTAGCTTGAATATGTTTTCTCGTTTATGGTTGATTTCGTTGATTCATCAGGTATATGTTTGCAACGACTTTCCCTTTCTTCAGATTAATTGGAAGTTCTTTTGGCTGTTTTTTTTTTTTTTCTGTCTGCTTTTCATCCTACCATTGTTATGAACTATGAATATGTCTGTATGTGTATATATGTATATATGTGTGTATGTATGTTTGTATGTACATATGTATGTGTGTGTGCATAGATATGTTACTGTACATAAGCATATCTACTTATATACACAGACATGTATAGGTACACACACATGCATACATACATACATACATACATACATACATACATACACACACACACACACACACACACACACACACACACACACACACACACACACACACACACACACACACACACACACACACACACACATAAACACACATAAACACATACACACACATGCACACACATACACACACACACACACACACACACACACACACACACACATACATACATACACACACATACACATACACATATGCATACACACCTACCTACCTACCAACCTACCTACCAACCTACCTACCAACCTACCTACCTACCTACCTACCTACCTACCTACCTACCTACCTACCTACCTACCTACCTACCTACCTACCTACCTACCTACCTACCTACCTACCTACCTACCTACCTACTACCTACCTACCTACTACCTACCACCTACCTACCTACCTACCTACCTACCTACCTACCTGTCTACCTACCTACCTACTTACCTACCTACACACATACACACACACACACACACACACACACACACACACACACACACACACACACACACACACACACACACACACACACACACACACACACACACACACACACCACACAAACACCACACAAACACCACACAAACACCACACAAACACCACACAAACACCACACACACACTCACACACTTATCTGCTCCATAAGTCCATACACATATATCTATGTACTACAGACATATCTACACATAGGATATATTCCCTTTATTTAGATAACTGATATATTGCTTTATGCATGTAGAAAGTCTGAAAGTACATTAGTAGAATAGGAACTTCTTTGTAAAAATTATTCTTTTTTTAATAATGATATGTCTGACCAAGTGATAAAGTCTAGTGATTCAACAAAGGTGTCCGTGAACAATTTTGCACTAAAGCAAAATTACATGTGACAGTGATAGATCTTTAAATATTCATAAACATAAGATCCCCTTTCTCATGGTTAAAAACAAAGAAGATGATGTTCATTAATATGTAGATTGTATCTCCCATTTTCATTGTCCTCCCCCAGTAACTGATATTGGCACATCCTCCTTTATGAGAATTGGTTATTGAACCAAAATATTGTTTCATAGCTCTGAAAGAAATATGGTTTGTTGAGTTATGTCATTTTTGTAAATACCCCACAGTATTAGATACTGAAAGATATTTGTTAGTTCTTACTGAGTTGTTGATTGACTGAAATGATTATCAAGGAGAGCAGGAGAATTTTAGCATTGAGGGCAAGAGGTGTAGTTTGTTGGACTTGTGTGTACTTTAGATTCTGTGTATATTAGGATGGATCAGTTAGGAATTTCTTTTAACTTTTCAAAGTGAGAGA